GTAAAACGCATCATTGCTAGGACATTTGCATGTCATTTTTGCATTGTAAAATATGAAAAATTTGTATAATTTTATGTTTAATATATTTTATATATCAGGTATTCATGCGACCGCAGTGGATCACAGATGCAACTGATTGCTGTTGCTTCATCATGGTCGTCTTTTAAGCCATTTCGCAAAACCATAGGTTGCATACCCCTTTTCTCTTCAGATAGCGGATTTTGTGGTCACAGTGCTTTCTTTCACCGCGTTCGTGCCTTATCCTACATGTCTAATCGCGATTTAGTGATATACGCTGTGATGAATTCTTTATTTTCATGTCAAACTGTACCGAGATTGTGGTGCGTACCTCACGATCCTGCTTCAGGATGAAAAACCTTATATCCGAGCACTTTCCAGCTATGGTTTGATGGCAACGAGGTCCACCATTTTTACCCTGAATATAATTAGGGCTTTATGAGGCAGGACTCATAACGCGCTTATTAGTTTGTTTTTTAGGTTGTGTTAATTAGCCATGTTTATGCTGTTTCTTATGCTCATCCGAGTTATTCATTACATTAATGTATAATGAAGAAATCTGAATCTGATTCTCATACTAGAGGAATTATTTGCTGAAACACATTGCAATATTTTATTTTGGGATCAAGCCTAGGTCATTTTTTAAATTGTTGATGATCAGAATCATAATTAATTAACATATGTCATAAAACATGATGCCACTGGACATTGCGTTAACCACATTAAAACACCGGTTTGTTATAGAGACTAGATGGGATTTTCTTTCCTCTAATGCACCCTGATGAATCTTGAGGAATTATTGATTTATCAAATGATGTTGAAGTTTTTCAGCTGCTGAATCAAGAATGCAAAATTACTCTATTGTTATTTCTGTGCCTATCATCTGACGGATCTTCAGTAGTGGAGTAGTGAAGGGCTGATGGTGTTAGAAACAGTGTAAAAGATAAATGTTAGAAGCGTTTGCTATCAGTAAATGTTATACACTTTGCTGCGAGCGGGTCAGCTTCAATAAAATGTTGTCAAGTTCCTAACTGCCACCCCCGCCCACCTTGAGGTTGGGGAACCGTTTCCATTTTCGTTTTGAACATTCTTACCAACCCAAACATGGCACTGATCTCTGAAATCTCCTGAAGTTTCTTCTAACCGCTAGTAGCACCTACTCCTCCCACCATATCCGTGGAGTCATATCCCTTTGAAGATATTTCGTAGACGGTTGTGGAAGCTGCCGAACTTAGCCGCATAACAGGTTACATTCTTCCGGATTGTACATGGATTCCGCGAATACATTATCCTATTTTCAAGACGATAGTATGCGTTTCCGTGCTTATGGTTAGATTTTGCCACATTTCTTGTAGTTTGCTGAAATTTGCATACTTCGGTACTGTAAGGTACAGTATGTTGCGGATTTAAGTGAATCGGCGGCTGTAGTTGTGAAGATTAAACCCCTATGGCCATAGTCATTTGGCCAGTCTCCCTTCAAGATTACCCAACCATAAATCCAATTGGGTTGATGTCGTGTTCTTGTAAAAAAATGTTCGTTTCGTTCGCTCTGTAATGTTATCCCGTATTTTAACTTGGTATTGTTTTAGATGTATTGTGTTGACGATCCTTCGATGCTGATGCCCGTAAGTTGCGTTGTTGCTTATATTCGCCAACAAGGTAATATTGCATGGCTCTCGTATTGCAGATTTGGACTCCCCCGACCCCACCGTTGAGCGACGGGGACATCGACCCTTACATGGAGTCTGGATTTGCGTTCATGTACGAGCCTTTTCCGTTGGATGAAAGCGAACTGCCATCTCAGTTTGAAGATGAACCTGAATTAGAGACGCAGCCTCCTCTAAAGCCAAATCAGGCGGAACCGGTAGTTAACATCGTTTCCACCACTCCCACTGACACAGTAAACAGTGCTGTCGAACCGTTATTGATTCCAGTTACAACGCCTCCCAGACCTTCCAGTAAAGGTTTGTGTACTTTATGTTCCGTTTTTGTTATTTGGCTTGTTTTCATTCGAATTCAGCATCCAGTCTTGAGTAGTGATTAGTTTCAAGTTTCATCAGTGACATCGAACAGCATAAAAGATTAATCAAACGATCATATCCATTCATTGTCACGGCTCGCTATTCCTTTTAGATCGTAAAAACAGCATCTACGAGAGGTTTTCCTGTCGTTCGCAGGTATCTCAAATTCACAACGGAGTGGCCCTGAGTTCCAGCT